CTTAAAGGGGCACAGAGTTTCCGAATATGTAACTATTTGACTTTTCAAAACGAGTTACAATAAAATTGTTCTGAATCTGCACTTATTGCATAACTTTCATTGCTTCAGACATTGTGTTATGCGAGAAAAAAGTCTGCATGTTTGTCTGTTGCCCTGAGATGAATAGGTGGTTTTGTAGTATAGAATCTAACTTTTATTAACTTTTTGAACAATATAACATGAAAAACAATCTTCTTTAAGCACTGAAGTGGTTTTTGAAACCACTTCAGTGCTTCTTTAAGTTATCGACAAGTCCTTAGCATATTTTACCAATATTACAAAACCAAGTGTGGGGACTCTTGGGATGGGTGGATGCTCCATACCTAACTTACTAAGCACACAATAAATTTGAATCACAAAATGCTTCTTTTGTTACACAATTTTAATAATGAAATGCTCTTTTGTCTCCACCACCACTAAATATGCACTTTAGCTGCCACACCATGCCTTATCTTAAGCACAAATTCTTTTTGCTTCAAATAGAAATACAACTTTAAAGCACACTTGCCATGTAGCCAGGTATGGCAATGCAGTCATGGCCAAGCTTGTGAGCCTGTAATGCAAGAGGAGTTTGTTAAAGAGACTCGGCGAGTCGTCTCCCTTTGTGAGACTGGTTAGTGCAGAAGAAACACGGCTTTCTGCTACACCCGATGGCATCGTTAATGATGGCATGGAGACACATAAAGAAAAAAAAAAGAAAGTCGACTTTAAACATTACATAAGAGCGAGTTGCCTATACTCCAAGCAGATGCTGAGTTTGCCACTTCTGTACATCTCCTCAAGACGTGGCAGCATTGAAGAAAAATAAAAACGACTCAGGCGTGGCATGTTTTCAGCAATGTAGGATTCGTCAAATGGGATCTTCAGCAGCACTGGTCGGGCCAAGCCAGGACACCTGTCTACGAGAAGCGGGGGTCGAAGTGGTGCATTGCCTCACCCGGGGGGCCCAGAAGGGTCCAAACCTACACCCAGACTGTTCTCATCTTCGCCAGAGTGGCAGACCCCTCACTCATGTGCTTAAATGCACAAGTGAGTACGAACAGCCACCTACAAAAACAGCAGCAGCTCGACCAGCTGTGTCAACGACTAGCATCACAGTGCGGGAGTGACCAGGGACCATCCAATGGGATCTTAGTGAAAATGGGCCAATACTTTCAGAGAATCGTTGTGCCAGCCACGCTAAAGGACGCTGTTATGAACCTCTGTCGTGACTCAACTGGACTCATGGACATCGAGCGAACAACGGAGCAAATCAAGAAAACTTCTGGTGGCCTCGGAGACGAATCCGATGCCCTCACGGGCAATAAAGTTATGCAGCAGTCATCAAAGGTGTGATTTGAAGACAAATCAATTTTAAACCGGGACGTGTTAGCTAGCTCCACTCCTTTTGTCCAGTTTCAGCCTACGCGGTGATCTCGCACAGGACGTGTAACGTATATCCACAACGCATGCTTGTCAAACCTGCGAGTATCAAGCTCGACTTCAACCCCCTTCATGGTCCGTCGAAAAATGCAGGTTAGCAATTCGCAGGACTAAACTGAACTTTGCCCAGAGCACCTGCCTCAGGAACAAGAGATTGTCTCATCATCAGAATGATTCGATGTACGCCCCGTAATGGATGCAAAATGCCTTATGTAATCAAACTTAATCTATGCTAAATAAACATGAATTCATTTTCTTCGCTAATCAATGTCGCATTACTAATTAACGAAACGTCGGCACCTGGCCACTGCTGACACTCGTATAGTAGCCTAACTTTCCAAACCCTTGATGGTTCCAGTGAGGCTTCTTACAAGCTCAAGCCTGAGATTATAATTCATTTTCCCTTAGCGGCGCAAAGAGAAGTGAGGGGTGACATCACGAACAGTGGCCTGCTTGGAATCCTAGCTTGCCCTGACCCATGACTGCCATGGCCCCTCAGCGATGCAGACCACTGACAGGATTTGGCCAACAGATTTTAGTAGACGACATTGGAACAAATGGCGTTGGCTCTTGCCATGGCTTTGGATGCAGTACTCATGCGCGCACCCATTCAGTGATGCTTTATTGTCACGGTGACTGTGACCATAGCAGTCCAGCTTTATTGTGTGGAAGGACACAATGGTGAAGCTAGATCAGGTGCATGCTCAGGTTCTATTGCAATGCATTTGGGCAGAATATGCACAAAGAATTCAAAGTGAGGTCTTAATGCTAAGGGCTGAATTTCTCCAGCACCTTACACTAAAAGTATATTTTTTCGTCCCTTAACATGGAGCTAACCTACCAATGTGCCCTTCTAAATTTTGAGATGAAAGATTGCCTAATCTAATTACATTTCTTTTGACTTACACCAGTCCACTTTATCATTCAGGACATTGTCAAATAAACCTTGTTGGTTTGATCTTTTCTACTCTGTTGGCTGCCCCTGTGCCATTTATGACACTCCTGCATCGTGAAGCCACTGCACTGGATGGCAAGAGCTTTGGGGAAGTCCTAATATGGCTCTGCTAGGTCTATGGAACAGATTTTGCAGTCAGTCAAGTTGAGGCAGCCACAAGGAGCCAAGCAACTTCACCTGTCTGGCATTCATACAGGAAGGAGTTGGTGAGAGCCAGCATAGGTCACACATGCTTCACTAAAGCAAGGACAATACTGCGAGTGAAGAATGATGTGAACGTGGCAACGCCGCTCAGCTTGATCCTGCGGTCAAACGCAGTTTCCACACCAGCGATGAGGGCAGGTGTGGAAAAGGAAAGGCGTGCGAGTTATACATCAAGAAGTTGAGGGCTGCAGGACATGAGGCCTTAATCGAGGAGGTTGGCCTGCTCCTCCTGAAAAAGTTCCCACTTGTAGGATGTTCGCCAGACGGAATTCTCATTTAGTTGCCACTGCTGCAAGGGCAGGAAGGTACTGCTGGAGGTCAAGTGCCCTTGCAAACTGGAAAATGCCTTAACCAACTTTAGTAAGAGACAGGAGAAAATTGTATATGTCACACAGGTGAATCTACAGATGGCAGTGTCCAGAGCTCACAGTTCTTTGTCTATGTTGACGAGACTATGTTTTGTTTGCATTGCCTTGTCTTTGATGCCATGATGTTTGAGGAATTTAAGGCAACAATTCACAAGGATCTACGAGAGACATATTTTCAATGAGCTACTCCAATGTATTAAGGTGCGACATGTGTTTAAGGATAGGCGGCATGCACGTCCCTAGGTAGGGTGGTGGGCAAAGCTAACGAAGTCGCAGGAGCACGCGGCCTCAAGACTACTCCCATCCGTCATGCCGGCAGCGAAACAGACCACCTCCATTGGGCAGTAGCTGGTTACAAGATTAGCAGCTATCATCGCATCACTGGCCGTCCTTGCTAGTTTTGATAGCACTGTTCTTCTGTGCACTGGTGCTTATTTGCCTCGGGCGACATACACGGATGCCCCGGAGCCCTCCCAGTTCAGGCCCATCTTGGATGGTTCTTGGATCCTGGCCAAGCGAGCGGTGGCGGCGCTGCCGCAAAACGTTTGACAACGGGCCTTCCAGCCTGTGAATGGCTGCGCCGAAAACATTTGGCTCCTGTCGGTCGATGCTTGCCACGTCACATGGCAAGCACCGACCTGACCAAGGCCTTTCACCAGGTGTCCGTGGAGGCCATCCTGACGGGAGCAAGGCGGGCTGGGTTCTCCAGCAAGTTCGTGAGGCATATTAAGGACCTGTACACCAACTCCAGGATCATCCTCCAGTTCCAGGGGGAGACACTTGGTGTGCAGCCTACGACGGATGTTAGGCAGGGAGATACCCTCTCGCCTGTCCTGTTCAACTTCGTGCTGGACGAATACTTCACGAACGTCGACCCAAACATTGGGTTCGTCGCTGGAGACCTACGCCTCGATGCCACGGCCTTCGCGGACGACCTGGTCGTCTTTGCGTCGACACCGCAAGTGCTGCAGTTACGCCTCAACCAAGTCCAGGACTTCTTCATGCCCCGTGGCCTGCGGGTGAACATCAAGAAGAGCTTCACGCTCTCCATGCAGCCATCGGGGCGTGAGAAGAAGCTCAAGATCTCCACGGACAACATCTTCACTGTGGCGGGTAGCCCCCTCCCGACATCAGAAGTCACCACACTGTGGCGCTATCTGGGGGTCACCTTCTCGCCACAAGGGACCAAAAACATCGGCTCCGCACCCAGCTGCAGGAGCTGCTAATGCGAGTGAGCAAGGCCCCACTTCAGCCCCAGCAGAGGCTGGTGATACTGCGATTCCACCTCCTACCGCGCCTCTACCATCGGCTGGTACTGGGGCCCTGGACTAATGACCTACTGAGAAAGATGGATGCCTCCATCAGGGGCTCTGTGCGGCGCTGGTTAAACCTGCCTCACGACACACCCCTAGGCCTCTTCCATGCCCCAGCGGCTGAGGGGGGTTCTCAAGATCACGTCGCTGTGAGCCTCCATACCATCCATGCTGCTCCAGCACCTGGGGAACCTGTCCCCCAGCCGCCACCCAAGCTGCGAGGCAGCAATCCAGACTCCGCTGCTCACAGGCCTGCAGAGGAGAGCCACTGCTGCCACCAATTATCAAGGCAGATATCTTACAACCAAGATGGAGGTCCATCGGATGTGGGCCATGCTGCTCCACCGGAGCTGTGACGGGAAGGCACTAAGGGAGTCAAGGAAGGTCCCGGCAGCTCACCGGTGCTTGACAAATGGCACCCACTTTCTACCCGGCCGGGAATTCATCTATCTCGTGAATTATAAGATCAATGCCCACCCCACCCTGAAGCGTACAGGCTGAGGCCGAGACCGGGACATCAACTGCCACGCTGGGTGCCAGGCACCGGAATCTCTCGGCCACGTGCTCCAGGCCTGTTATCGTGGCCACCGTGGGCGGATCGAACGACACGACAACGTTGCAGGCTATGCCTGCGGTCGGTTGGCACAGCTGCAGTGGCAGGTCCAGTGGGAGCCGCACTACGCCGTCTCTGGGACCGTGATGAAGCCGGACCTCGTCGCATACAAAGATGCAGACTGCGTGGTCTTGGACGCCCAGATCGTGGGGACCACCCTGGGACTGGGGTTCCACCATGCCCAGAAGAAGGCCAAGTACAGCGTCCCAGACCTCCTTGACCAGATCCGGGGAGACCGAGTGGGGAGCGTGGCCATGTCAACCATCACACTCAACTTCCAAAGGTGTGGGCGGCTGAGAGTGCCCATGACCTCAAGGAACTTGGCTTCACCGACAACGACCTCAAGATCATGTCTGTCCGCTGCCTCCAAGGCGGCATGGCGTGCTTTCGTCGGCACCGCAACATGACCACTGTGGTGCAAGCCACGGGCGAAGACGTCGAAACCCGTTGCACTAGTTCAGGCCCGCCACCAGCCTAGGTTGGTGGCAAACTCTGGTGCCTCTGCCTTATCAGAGAGCAAGACCAGCAGTGCAGCACCCCAGAGCTGCATCTACTCTTGGGTCTACCAAGGACTTAGGCTGTATCACTCGGGTGTTGTTGTGTTGAATAAATGGTTAAATAGCTAAATGGCCAAATTGGCTATTTGGCCCATTTGACCAAATGGCCAATTGGCCAAATGGCCAGCGGCTCCGTGAAAGCTTCCTGCAGGCGGGTCTAACGGACAAGGCACTGATCGATTCCATGTGCTTGCGGCCAGCAGGAATGCTTGAGACTAACACCATCCTCCATCATTTTAAGGCGACCCCAAAAAAGGCTCAGGAGGAGGGATGTGGACAGCGAGCCCCACCTCCACCCCGAAACAGGGCCCAACGTCGCCGTCAGCTATACGAGGAGCACCAAAGACTTCATCGGCTGGGGCCCAAGGTGCTCGTGGACAAGATATGCATGCAAGGCGCTGATCCTACCACAACGCTAAAGGAGCTCCACAGGGTTTATGACCCGCTGATGTCCACTCCCTCACACCAGGTGGACAGCATCACATCCAAGAGCTAAGTGTCGCACGACAAAGATTTGCGGAATCCAGCTTTGTGAATTGGAACAACCTTCCCTACTTTCCGGTCCTCAGGTAAGACGCCATAATGAAGTGATTGTTGAAGCAAAGATGACAAGATGATCGAGAAGTACACTTTGGTATTTCTTAGAAATTTTGCGTTTATCTCGTCGACACCTGATGCCGACGACAGCTTGAGGTTTTCAATAATTTTAACAATACCGGGTGGATCAAACAGAATTGGTAACATGGGCAAAAAATCAGAAGATGGTAGTATGGGATGGTCGGCATTTAAGAGATCACTAAAGACACTGATGAAACATTCGTTGAAAGTCATAGCGCAATCTTCACCGGAAATGACCTCTCCGCCTGAATTTTTAAGTTGTATTAAATGTTTGTCGGCAGGGTTGACTAAGTTCCAAAACTGCCTTGGATTGTTAGTGAGCATTGAAGGTAATTTTATGCTGAAGTTATTTTTAGTTTCATCGACGGCCAATTTGTATACTTCAGCTGTTGAATGGCCGAGGTTGGTCTCTCCCTCAACCCAGCCAAGACGATCCTCTTCGGGTGGAGGGCGTCCGCGGACGCAGTCATCTACAACATCCCTCCAGTCATGGTCGCGGGCACCCCAGTTCCCTCTGTGCCGCCCAACACGCCCATCAGATACCTGGGCATTGACTTTTACGTAAACAAGCGTCCCATCATGCACTCACCTACCACCGATGACGACTTTGACATCATCCAGTCCGCCTCCCTGAAGCCATTCCAGAAACTTCGGTGCATCAACACTCTGATCACACCGAAGTTTCTGTACACCGCATCATCAATTCTTGGGTCGGCGGGGGAGTCTGCAGGGATTGACAAAAGACTAAGGACTCGCATAAAGTCCATCCTACACCTCCCCCAATCATTTCCCAACACTCATGTGTGTTTGCCATGAAGAACGGCGGACTGGGAGTGATGAACATCGAGCGAGTAGGTTCAGAGGTGCAACTCAAGGCGCTCGCCAGGCTCATGCACCTGGGCAACCTCGCAGTCGACAGCCTTTTTAACTCTAACATCGGCGCCTTCTTTTGCCAACCTTCATCACAGCTCCAGGTGCCGGCTGACCTCACTGATGCGGAAAAGCTCTCAGCAGTGCTGCGTCACTCCCGCACCATCTGGTGGAGTGAACACTGCGCTGTCTACGCCAAAAGGAACCTCTTCTCCCATCACGGTCAGCCACTAAGCAACACCTGGCTGCAACCTGACACCCATTATCTCAAGAATGGCGACCGCATTAAGGCCCTACGACTCAGGACAAACATCCTTCCCACCAACGCCTTGCTGCAGCGTCACAACACCGACGCTTCAGCAAGGCTGTGCCACAGGTGCCGTTGCGCCCTTGAAACTCTATTTCACATCCTCCAGGAGTGTCCATCAATCAAACTTTCTCGGGTAGAGCAGCACAACTTCTTGTGGAAGCAGGTGTGCCGCCTCACCAGGAAGTATCACCCTGGAGCCATCATCGAGACGGAGTGGGTGTATCACACACAAAAGGGCGACTTGGCAGAAATCTCATTTCTTTATTACTGCTCTTTTTTTTCTTCTTTTTATTAAGGTTTCTTGCCGCTGGGGAGACGTTGAGAAGCGTATCCTACAACTTCTTTACAGCAAGGTCAACATGCTGCGAGATAATAGCCGAGGTATGCAGCGCCCTCTGGGAGGTGCTTGGGCCTGTCTATGTGGCATGCCCAAAACAGCCCGAACAGTGGAAAAAGGTAACTTTTTTATATCACCACTGCTCACCTCCTCTCTTCTTTGTGCGCGGGTAATATAAATAGCGATCATGCAAAGCTCTAGAAAAATGTTCACCTGGTGTAACTTTGCCCAATTGCAGTGTAATTTTCGTTGTTCTGTGGTGGGAACAATGCTGGTGTGACACAAATCAGTGGCCGTGTGTGTTAGTGCACCGCAGCTCAGAGCACGTGGAGCGAAACCTTGTGTTGTATAATACAGGAATCCTGTAATCAATCACCACCCCTACCCATTTCGATCAGATTGGATGAGCATCATACCGGCGTCTGGTCGTGTATGACTACTGTGTTATGCTCGTTAAAGACCCCAGCATGAGCTTCTGAAGTGGGTAAAAGCACGGGAGGCAGCTGAAATGAAGAGCTGACTTGGTGCCAACAGCTGCTTTGGTCACGCTTGGGAGGGTCCTTGGAGGGGGATTAAAGCAGCTGTTGGCACCAAGTCGGCTCTCCTTTTCGTCCGATAGCGTCTCTTGGTTTTGGTCATTGTTGGGGGCGTGTACCTCTGTAGCGTCGTGTCGACTCCAGAAGCCTCCTACCTCCATGTATGAAACAAACATGCTTCTAAGGTGCTTGAGGCGTGTCCACAGATTATCCGCTCATCGCCTCTGCAGCGAATAACGTATGTTTTGCATGATGTATGAGCAGTGCAACTGCGGCTTTATGGTTCCTACTTGTGATGGCGTAATAATGCGGAGAGCAAGTTCACCTGCCTGCTTCTTGCACAGGGGCTGCGTTGATGTCAGAACGCCGAGCTCTTATTGGCTGGTTGAAAATTGAAAAAAAAAATAGGGAGTAGACCTTGAGGCATCTACATTCAGGTCTCCTACTATCCTTTCAAAATTCAGTCGAAGCCAATTAGAGCTCGGTTTCGTTCTGACATCACCACAACTTCTGCACAAGAAGCAGACAACTTGCTCTCTGCATAGGGTTATCAAATGTGAACGACAAGCTGTACAGTTTTGAGTGCTGCAACACTCAAATATTTTCTGCCAATGAAAAATTTATGAGGTACATAGACTATTTCTCATGTCTCGTGCTGACCAATTCTTCTGTGCATCCTAGCAGGCTGAAGCTTTCAAGGAGAATAAGAAGTAATGTTGAATCTTTATTTTTTCCTTTTTCAATAGATCGCCACTGAATTCGAAGAAAGGTGGAACGTTCCAAACTGTGTGGGAGCCATAGACGGTAAGCACATCACTATCGAGTGCCCTTCACTCTCTGGCAGCCTGCATCGGAACTACAAGGGATCTCTCAGCAAGTCCTTGTTGGCAATTAGTGATGCTAAGTACCAGCAAGTTTTGATTTTTTATTACTAAATGTTAAGTTAATGTACAAGGCAAAAGATATGCATATACAGAATAAAGGCGACAAATCCCCTACTTTAAGGCAAATTATCAGGGAAAGTAGATATAAAAAAATATCAGGTTGAAAAAAGAAACACAACTGCTCAAAACCGAAACCGGACTAGGGAGGAAGAAGAAATATAGAGGAGGACAGAGTTGGCAGAAGTCACGTGCCTGTGCAACTTGTTTTCTTCAGTCACCATATTTGCGGCTTTTTAGAAGCCACAAAAAATGGGTATCATAAACCATAGAAAACAGCACATGACCATAAAAAAGAAAGTGGGTGCGACTCGAACCGGTCAGTTCTTGATTAGCGGTTTTCGGGCGGAAAGAAACCGAATTTTGAGCCGCAAATTGTGTTCTGGGTTGTTGGGCTCTTGTATGTCATGTACAAATAAAAACCTTGGCAAGCATAAATACCCCGTCAGTGTCCCTTTAAGGGGCAACTCCGCTCAATTCCAAGAATTTTGGGATATTGAGTTATTTCACATTAAACAGCCCTAATAAAGGGCACTACGTTATTTCCTTTGTGAAAAATGAGATATATATTGTACAATCTTATTTTATACATGAGCAGAAATCAAAACCGAAACTTTGGCTTCGTCAGAACGTTGGCCTCGGGCCGCCAAAGACGTGGTACGAAATGTCACATGATCCTCTACGCAATGACGGGCGGCCCCCGGTGGGGCGGGCGTACGCCAGGCGAAAGCGTTATCTGCACCACACTCCACCAATTTTTGGTGTCTACTACATAGAACGAAGGGGTCACAACTTTGGCATCAGTCTTTGCACGTGATGTGAACAAGCTCCCAGACATAATATCACAAACAGTGAGAGTGAGATGACGACGACAGTTGTGACTAGGGTGACCACTTTCCTGCCGGCGGAATCCGGGACACCCTGACGGGGGAGGGGGGGGGGGGGGAAAGGGGGAGAGTAAGAAAAGGACGGTATATTCACGACCCAAGAAATAAGTATCAAGGGAAATTCACCAACGCGCACACCCCGAAATCCTGTGCTGTCTGAAAGCGTATTATGCACCTGAAAATTGTATGCGGCAATTAAACTAAGATAAGTTTCACTCACAGTGATATACTTTTATTTATTTGTAATCGTATCTAAGTTGAAAACATAAAGATCGACGGCACCAGACAGCAATGCATCAAAAGGAAATAAAAAACAGTAACTATTTTTCGGCTTATTGTTTACTGTCGATACTTACTCTTATATTAATATGCTCCTACACAAAAATAAAACCTTGTTTTTTTTGTTTGTTTTTTACCGTTGTGAGTTGCAGGTTTTTTGCCTTCTGTGGCCGTCTTCACTAAAAACAAAGAAGAGCTTTTCACAACAACCTTTTCTCATGATACAGTACGATTTCCAACTAATTACAATATTTTATTTTTCAGCTTTTGGCGAGCAATTTTCGCTTGCAATATTTTGCCATCAAGGGGAGAGGCACAACGGCGCATGTGCGTCAGGTCTCTTGCAAGAACGAAGGTTGCTTCCCGCAGTGCTTGGCAAGAAAATGACATACCATCGAGATTCACACATTTATCAGCGACCTCCGCGGTTCCCCGTTGCCCGTTGTTCGGAAGCGCCACAATTTGCGCAGTGAATGTTACGACAATGTGAAATGCGGGACATTTTGAAGATTTGAGAATTTCTTGCGGGACGCGGGACACGAGCCCTCAATGCGGGACAGTCCCGCGAGTCGCGGGACGGGTGGTCACCCTAGTTGTGACGCAGAAAACGGAGGAGACGGCCGGACGGCTCCCAAGAAGCACACTGCGTAGGCATGTTACGATAATCACGTGAACGCCGCTGAGCACTGAGAGGACATGTTGCAGGCGTAACATGTTATGCTCGCCGAAAGTGTTAAAGGGGTAGTGCAACAATTTTAATGTTGAAAGAATGGGCACCTTGTATTTTTTATAATGTTTATGAAAGCTCAAGTAACCAAAAACGTGTCTACTTGCCCCGAAAATCTGCTATTCCGCTGCGTAAATGCAAAGAAAATACTAATTATTTGCTGCTCTGCAGTCGCGTGTCGCGCTTACGGGAACTACGATGACATTGTCTCTGGGTATATGTGAAAGTCAACCAAACCTGTCCCCCCCTGCTGCCACACTCGCTGTCAGCCGAGTGGCGAACAGTCTTTTGTGTCGATCGCTCGCCGCAAACCTTCAACGATGCTAATCCTTTACAAGTCGATAGTCGCGGAGGAAGCAGCTGGCGTCTCTAAAGCGAGTACCGATGCACATAGAGTGAAAGCCCAAGCTGCGGAGCCCAGAAAATCATGGGTTGAATCCCCAACTCTGCCCGGTTTGATCTATATTAGCATTGTACTTGCATGCGGCCAAATATCATTGCTGTGTGGTGCTGAATAAAGGGATAGTGAACCGAAATTAGGATTTCAGAAAACAATGCAGGAGCTGTAGGCGGCACGCTGCAATCCCTACAAAACTACTCGTAAGGTGATATCTTGAATGGACAGCCGTATTTTCGTAAAAAGAGATTGAGATTGAACGAGGCCGACGAGGTGAGTGATGTGAAGATATCTCGTTTCCTCCTCTCTTTGCTTTGCCCCCTCAAGGCGGCGAGGCGGAGAACACGCGAGGCCGTTCCCTCTCCTTCTCGGATAATCAAAACGTAAACATTTCTGTCAAATGCGCTTCTTTTTTTTTTTTTCTTTTTTTTTTGGGGGGGGGGGGGGGAGGGGGGAGGGGGGGAATACGGCCATCCGTTTTAGATATTGCTGTACAAGTGATATTTTGGTGTTTGTAGCATCCCGTTACACGCTTTTGCCACCGTGTTTTCTGGAATCCAGATTTCGGTCCAGCATCCCTTGAACGAACACAGGTTAGCGGTTTGTATTGCACTGGTTAAATTTATAATCTACAGCCCAGATGCCCGCTGCAGCTGACTAACTTTCAGCTGTCTATACATACACACAGCACAATTATTATTATGAGGTCTAGCTCTTGCATTTTAGTTGGTTACTGCTAATGTTAAAAAAAATCCCATTCTTATCCCAGGTTCCTCTACGTTGAAGTTGGCCATCACGGAAGTGAAAGCGATGGGGGCATCTTTGCCCGCAGCAAGATCCAGCAGCTCATCGTCTCTGGGGAGCAGGGACTGCCTTTTCCAACAGCTGTTGGAGAGGAAGGGGAGCTACCCTACTACCTGGTGGGGGACGAGGCCTTTCCGCTAAAACCTTACCTGATGAGGCCATACCCAAGAAAAAGTATGTAATGCCTGGCTTTTTTCATGTCGTATTTTTAGCATATCGTTCAAGAATAAAATAATGAACACCATGCCGCCACCTTTTATTGTAGTTGAATACAATTGTTTGAGAAAAGACATTTATCACTAATATACCGTATCTACTCGAGTAATAGCCGCACTATTTATGGACAGGGCTTTTGCATCTACTTTCCCACAGAACACATATACAGCCAATCATTGCACTGAGCATAAATAACATAGCGAATAGCCAGCTCGAGAACACTATTCTCCATGCCAATGCAATCTTCGCAGATGGTATCTTCGCATGAAGACATTATCCCTGTGCTGTAAACAGCTGGTGCTTCGTCTCGGGCGATTCTGGTTTTCGCGCATCCGCAGTGCGCACACCTGGTGGGGGCAAACGCGGGCTTGTTCATAAACAGTGTGCTGATAGATAGACTATACATGGCTTGCACTCGTGTCACATCAGTGGGCATCGTGAAAAACCTTGCCATTGTGCATGTACCCGTGCAGGTTATGCTTTCGCACCACCAATTTTTTTCTCGCGGCCAGAACAAGTAGGAATGACTATTGCTGCAGTGCGAGGACATCACGTGCAAGCAATATAAAAATATTGTTTTGGCTTGATTGCAGAAAGCAGTCCAGCCTATAAAGCCTATAACTCTGTTTTTGTTCTCGTCAGTGTTATGCACAATTTCTTTTATTATATTTCCACAAATGTAGTAATTTGGCCACACAAGCAAGCCACCCACCAAATATTATCTCATTATCGGGAATTTAAATGACATTTTAATTGCATGACCTTTATTCATTATGACAATGTTACAACATGCACTCTTTGTCAGGAGTGATCTTTAGCAGCTTCGTAGTTTGGTTATTAGGAAAGATTAAAAAACTTATAGAAAGTTTTCATTTGCACTTTTATCCTCCTTTGTATCATGCTCATGCAACTTCACATTACCACATTTGAGGTGCCCTTTCTTGAAGACTTCACAGCTCCTTTGCTAAGATATTGGCTCTAACATTACAGGCCTCACTGCAAGAGCTGAAGACACTCAACCTTCTGCCTCAGAGCCGTCCAATGAAGAACCACAAGACGATGGAGTGGATGACCAGCTTCCAGATGATGAAGGTGACGCAAGTGACCAAGGAAAGAAAAGGGAGTTGAGGCGGCGACGGAAGATTTTTAATTACCGCTTGAGCCGTGGCAGGAGAGTCGTAGAGAACACGTTTGGAATTCTCGCCCAAAGGTGGCGAATATTGAGAAGACCCTTCAGGGCAAGCGAGGTGAATACTGACAAGATTGTTGCAGCCTGCGTTGTCCTTCACAATTTTTTGCTAAAGGAGTCTGAAGCATCGGCTGCCGCCTACTGCCCTCCTGGCACAGCCGACCAGGAGGACTGGGAAGGTCGAACAACTGAGGGCACGTGGAGAAGGGACGCAGCCAGCAAGAACGCTGGACTGCGAGGCATCCCCAGAAGAGGCTACAATTCAGCCAAGTATGTTTAATTTTACTCGGTATGTTACTATAGTTGTGTTTATTTGTATCAGGCTAGTAGAGGCCATGAAGCAGTTTTCAGTGGCTAAGAAAATGATGCCAGTCATTGGAAATGGGCCACATCAGTATCAGCGATGTGATTGCTGCACCATTTGTGCCAAACTGCGCTGCTTACCCTGCTACATTTTGCCGAAACTGGGGGAATCTGCGGCAACGTTGCACCTAAACTTTATTTCACCTTAATATTACTGAAAGTCAAATAACTCGGGCCTCACCGCTCAATCGAACCGATACAATATGCTATGCGAGTTTTCAAAATGTTTTCTTTGTCGACTCAAATGACATACTATTCCATTGCATTTCTTACGAAAGACTGACAGTACTCGGAAGTTTCGCACGAATTACCATGTTCATCGTCCGTACTGCTGGAGGGTCGATTAGTCTCTTTGAGTGCGCTTTTCACCAGGCACTGGTGTACTGCAGAGAAGCGAAAAGCGTGTAGTACTCATGAACGATAATAATCCCTGGAGAATGGATTATTATAGTTTATTTTGTCCACCTCGCCTGCACCTTTGCATTAATAGCATTGATAAAGTTGGCATCGCGATTTTGCGTCTTGCTTCGCCGCAGTACACACTCCTCCAGAGCCAGAGCCGTATATGGGGAGAGCCTGGCCATTGGGTGTGGCGACGAAGGTACCGGAGAGGAGAAAAGTGAAGGGAAAAGAGGAGAGTGCCGAAGGAGTGAGAGAGAAAGAAGGGAGCAAAGAGGAGACGACCACCATTTTGACGCAACACTTGTAGGCGAAGAGCATTGTTGAGGCTACGCGTCGTCCCACTCAGCTGGGAAGCAGCCGGGAGTTCTTGCACATGCGCTCACGCCTTGCGCCGCCGGCTGATTGGCTCGCGCGGGAAGGGCCGCCATTTGGCCAAAATGGCGTCAGCGTTACGACTTGTTTCAGCCTATTTAAAACATCTCCAATCATTTCCTTGATTTGATATTTGAGGTTGTTTTATTTGCAGGGAGGCATACGAGATGCGGGACAAGCTTGCCCACCATTTTGTGACTGGAGGTGCTGCCCCCTGGCAAGACAAGATGGTCATGGGGCCTTGTGACAACTGACTTAGAACAAGAAGTCTCTCTTTCACACTTTATTAGTTTGGCACTCAGTAGTCTGGACCGTAGAAGTGCTCCCACTGAGCTTTGTAAATCAGATCCTCAATATCATGCATTATCTCAATTTGTTTTGTCTCGTGAAGGGTTCTTATTCTCCCGGCAAGGGACGCACAGAAGTGATGAACTGGATCTTCGGGGCCACCTGCCTTCCTCGCACGCCTCTCCCGTATCTCCTCCAAGAGATTTACGCAGGTGCCAACAGGGTCCTGCATGTTGGATCCGCTTGAATGTGGCCTGATGGAACGAAATAGTGTAAGACAGTTTTATAATAACTAGAGATTGTTCACCTTGCTTTGTTGATCAGTTGCTGCTGGTCTCCTGGCTCCTCTTGTTGCCTGCATTTGTTTGAGTGAAGAGGACAGAACAGCAGCTTGTTTTATTTCCCATATGTATATATCCCCTGTGTTAATGTTGTGTAATGGCTTGTGACTTTAGTTTTAACTTCCTACGCAAATTATGAAATTCAAGATTAGGCCAAACCTTTGGCAGGCAGAACAAACTTAGATTAGAAAAGTGAGGCTTACACTGGGCCGTCTTGCTCCGCAAGGTTTGGCAGAATGCTGTCAGCAGGCCTGCCAAAGAGTAAATGCAATGAAGCTTTGATGCAAGGTCGTGCGGCTTTAATAAAATGATCCTAATGTCAACTCACGACTCCATCTCGCTGTCATCGTGCCGAGTATTCCTTGAAGAAAAAAGGTATTCGGCCATCAAACTATATCAACTGTAGCTTTCAGCAGAGCACTGAAACACTTGGGACCCACCTTCCACACCCCAGATGTCCGCCGCTGCAAGTGGCACCGCTGGTGCTGGCACTACTGCTGGTGGCACTACTGCTGGTGGCACCACTGCTGGTGGCACCACTGCTGGTGGCACCACTGCTGGTGGCACCACTGCTGGTGGCACCACTGCTGTTTTGAGCACCACAATAATAAATCGTTGAATGACAACAAACACATGTGAAACATGACTACTTTGTTCATCTTTCTGGTTATTTTTGTTGTGGTATGAATATTCAAGAAAAACTTTTTCAACAAAGGGACAATGCAAGATGTCTCGCTTCGTTAAAAGTGTTTCTTGAATTTCCTTTTAATTTTATCTATTTAAAACATTTGTGTGACTAACCTTTCCTCTTCATCAAACTGCAGGTTTGTGTGAAGTCTGAAATTGCATGGGGAGTAATAATATAGAACTTCAGTTATAAAATTAACATTGATTTCATAAGAGGCATGGCTACATACATTGGATTGGGGGAGACTGGTTCCATGAACTCCATCATCTGCATAAAGTGAGGCCATGTTATTTTGCCCACCTGGGCTGCTCCCGCTCCACTTTTCATAGAGCATGTTATCTTGTTCTTGTGTTTTTGGTATGTGTCTTTAGCGTTTTTAAACTTGTTGACGAGGTCCACACCTGCAGAAATGAAACGGTCATTCATTAATTGCTAACAGCAAACCGTGACTGGCTGTAAAAAAAATGATTGAATAATGGGTGAGGCCATGTTCTATTTATTTTTGCAGGCTGAAAGCGTTAACCTGGGTTGGCAGCGCGAGTATTGCCTGAAGTAAGCAAATGTCCGGTCCAACACGTTCTCATAAGAAAATATATCTGGGCGAAGGCCCTCGAACAGCTGAATACTGACATATTAGCGTCGCACTAGAATGAGGGATGTTCAGAATTCACAATTCAAGAACATGTGTTTACTTATTTGAGACTTCTAATGGAACGTGAGCGGTTTTCGGGGCACGACCAGGACCAACTTGCTTATAATCCGCGTCACAAGAAAGTACCGCCAGAGCTGGCTCACGAGCGGAGTGGCCAGTCGTGTCTCAAGCGCTCGCGCGCCCCAGGCTTCAGCAGGCTTTCTTCACTCGGCCGAGACGCCGATTCAAGCACGCCGTCCCAGTTGCTATAATCAGCGTCTCAAGAAAGCACCGCCAAAGCTAGCGCACGAGCCGAGTGGCACGTGAAGCCGAGTCGCAAACGCTTGGCAAGCTTTCTTCAAACAGCCATGCTGATTCTAGCAAGCAGGCCCAGAAGCCCAGATCGCGTTCGGCGTATACAAGCGTTTGTTCCATTATGAATCCATACCAACTCGCCCAGTTATCCTGTTTACTAAGTATACAAGCGAGTACGATCGGGTCGTTCAGTTGAATCATATATTCGGAAAAAGTTGTCCTTCACTTTGACGCGTGTAGCTTACGTGAAATTAAAATGGTACGTACCAGGTATCCCTCCCAGGCTCTCGCCGAGCATCGTCCACACTTCATCTTTATACTTGATATCCTTAAATCGTGGATGCTCTTGTCGTACAAGACGGGGTATTGTTTGATTACATCCAGAAGAACATCAGTCCTCACATTCGTCGACTTTTTTTTTGCGTTAGGCTTAGCCGATTTGGCGACGGTACTCGCGACGGGAGCCATGTTGGAACGAGATCCCGAGATGCTGACGTGACGTCAGCCTCAGTGTCGCGTTGTGATTGGTTGCCGCTTTGCGGTTCGGGAAAGCGGTTGGGAAAAATCGGTCCCGAAGCGGTTGGCAAAAACGCGCCCCAACCGCTCGATCTCAGCCGCTTTGCGGTTGAGAACGCACGGATCCGCTTCGCGAACGCGGATCCGCTTCCAGTGTGAAAGCGCCATTAGACTAGCAGCAGGGGAGAACTTTTTTCTTGTCTTTTTTTTTCCCTTTTTTTTTCATTTTTTATTTTCTTTACATTTCTGAATCGCCCTTAAATTTGGTGAAGAGCGCCCTCGGGGATTTCTTGCATAGTTCACGCTTCGTTTTTAAGTTAATTTTTCTGCTGCACCACAGCGCGAGTTTCTGCCCCTGTTTGGCAACCCTGTTGGGATTTTCCCACGAACAAGTTCCGCCTGCCACCGCTTGGTGCTGGCGTGGCGCTGACCGTGAGAAACTGAAGTCAAAGTCAGCTTCACTTCGGTCACGCCTGGTTCGCATGCCGAATTCCTGGTGGTCGCACCTTTGGCTGAGTCTGCACGGCTCCGAGACCACTGCGTGCTCCCGGGCACCGCCGGATACCCCCCGCTACTCTTGGAAGGTTCTCAAGTCCACAGCGCACAGTTTCAGCACATCTCCAAGACTTCATCACCCCTCAACGGTCGCTCGTTTTTTGGCTGCTGGAGTTAGTGCTAGGCACTAGTGGACCGCTGGTTCCTAGACCGAACATTTTTTATTTAAGCCTCCGTGCATCGAACCACGCACAAAAGTCTCTGGTTCCACTACCATCCTTTTTTTTTGTAACAGCTCTGCCGGCTTCCAGTTCGAATTTTGCACGTGAACTGGGAGTGCACACGACTTTGTTTAGTTGCGCCGGCCGTCGACAGAGGGCGGTACGTTCCACCTGTGGATTTCACCACCTCTGCTAGACCAGCTGCAGGGAAGAACTTTTTTTCTTGTCTTGTTTTTCCTTTTTTTTTTAATTTTTTTTTCTTAACGTTTTTGAATTGCCTTGGAATTCGGTAAAAAAAAAAACAGAAACGAAACCGATATCACCAGGAAACAGTAACCATACTAAAACATTATCTTTTTCAAAAAAAAAAAGAACAAAAAAAAAACACCAAAAGTTTAAAAACAAACAGTTCCCAACGTTTTGGGATCGACTTTCTTTTTGTTTCTGAGCTTTTGGTTTGAGTTTTCTTTTTTTGGATTGTTTCTCCAAACCAGGCAGATTTCTGTCAAAGATGCTTACTTTCAAGTTATATTTTTCATTTTAAGTCCCTGCTCCAGACAGCAAGGACGGAGTGCGCACTGGAGAGACGCGCGGAGTAATCGATTAACCGCATTAAGTTTTGGTCGTGGATCTAAGCGAGAACAGTGGACAGAAAAGGGCTTGCACAACCTCATCGAGCCAAAAGAAATTTTACATGTTCGTGCAGTTTACTATGGGCTAAGAAATGAAAGTTCAGCTGTGGACTACAATACAGCTGTTACGACTAACTTCAAGTAGAATGTGTTGCTCCAGCAGTGCAGCTTAGTAGTAAACCCTGGATTATTGTGGCTTGGTGCCACACCTGACAGGCTGGTTTATGATCTAGAGCAGCTCTCGTACGGAGTCCTGGAAATCAAATGTCTGTATTTACTCAAGGACACTGAACCAGATTATGCCAGGATACAGAACTTCTACATAACATTCAAAGAAAACGATGAGCCACATCTTAACCGGGATGACTACAATGCTCACGTGCTCGGCCAAATGGCTCTGAATGGATGTCGCTGGGGAAACTTCGTTGTCTGCTCAGAGAAGTGAATAGTCATTGAGTGCATTTGCTTTAACATTTAGGACTGGGTAGTTGGGGCTAAATGATGAAAAGTTACAGGGTCTCTTATGTTATCCCCAAGACGACTTGAAGGTGAAAGCCCAAGTGCCGAGGCATTAAAGACAGACACACGATTTACTTAATTCACTTTGATTCCTCTTAATTCACTTTGTCATCATTCTTAATTTCATTGGCTCTAATTTGCCTGAGTGGTCACGTAAATGTGATAGCAAACCTCCGAAGACAGCGCGCAACCTTGACGACATACTTTTGGCATACTTTAGGACCTTTCGTGTCGCCAGCACTTTCTCAAGCTCGACTGAACGATGAGACATATCAGTCTTTCGCCTTAATAAAGATGTTTCTGGCTCGGTGAACTGTTATGTTTCAATCATGTTTGTCACCCCTTCCCTCAGCACGGTAGCATTTACGGTTCATCACGCCAGCAGACATTTCTGCCTTTTCAACAAAATGCTCCCTCTCACAAACAAGTATGAAACAAAGAGACCACACAAGCACTATATTTACGACTGATGCAGTAATTTTCAATGAAGAAAGCCTTATCTGCCATCACAGAATCATTCTCTCGAAAAAGCTGCTTCTGGTGTCAGTTTCTCTGTCTGATATCTATCCTGTGTAAAGCTTGGACACAAAGGCCAGAAGCCCATTTTGCAGTAGACCGACAAGCCCTTTAAAGGTGTTCGCTGACTTGTACATTCAGTGTGTACTCGACTGAAGCAACGGAGAGGTCGGCACTTCACACTGTACCTCCGTTGCATCCAAAATTACCCTCGTTGATGCATACCTTTTAACAAAATCACCTGACATCATTGCATCTGCTGTTTCCCTTGGTGCCCACAGGGGAAATGGGCTCAACCTTGCATGCAGGAAATTCAACCAGGACATGCAAACGGGGCTCACCCACAGAAGCCGAAACCACTATGGAGGTCCCAATGGTAGTGTATAATTGGGGTTTTCCCCCTAATGCACATTGTTCACGTATTGTGGAACAGGCCTATTTATTGTAACTAAGTGTGCAGTTTTCAGTTGCCCGTGAGAAGGTTCCCAGTTTGTTCAAGTAATCCTCCATCCTTCACTGTATAATTGGGGTTTTCCCCCTAATGCACATTGTTCACGTATTGTGGAACAGGCCTATTTATTGTAACTAAGTGTGCAGTTTTCAGTTGCCCGTGAGAAGGTTCCCAGTTTGTTCAAGTAATCCTCCATCCTTCACTGGGTTTTGCCAGATGCCCTGCGTTGGGTTCGCTCGCAGTCCCCCAAAAAATTGTTTTTATCGCGCAAGGTATTTCGAAAATGCAATGTGCACTTTGTATTGTTCATCTCATATACTGTTCACACTCTCTTCAAAGTGAGCTTCAAATTCTGGTTTTCTTATCAGAGCAGGTTGGCCACCGACAAATTAAACGAAGAGACCCTCAGTCATCCTTGTGTGAGCAGCGGTAAAACACATGGCGGCACAGGTACCAAATCCCTACAACAGTGACAGGGCTAGAGACCAGCCAGTGTTGTCACTGCCTCCGGACGCAGTGTTTGAGGCGATGGTGCGAGGCACTGATGACGACGACCACGCCTGCTGGAACAAGGTACCAGGTAACGGGGAGCTTTTGGATTGGGACAAATTTGCACCAACATGTTGAGGATGGTTACTGCGAACCGTAACATGTCTACTTGTATTTGACTCGGATCATTTTGACGACATACCTGGCAGTGAAAAATAAAGGTACTCAAACCACCTTCTTTTATTGTTCGGCAATATCTACACTATTGTACATATCTTTGAAGTTTCAAAATTGAAAATGCAAGTAGTGGGTCGCGAAAAAGTACTGTGAATTGAAACCAAAAATTTGTGGTTAATTGGTATCGAGAAAGCATAATGCGTGGCACCTTTTCAGTACGAACACAATTCTAGTTCTGAAACTTTTTATCAAGGTACTATTTCTGTTGAGCATTGATCTGCGATTGTAGCTCATTTTTCTCAAAATTCCTTCATGGAAATCTAGTGCTTTCGACGAACTGCACTAATAATTTTTTTTTTTGCTGCTGTATACATCATGGAAAAGCATGAAAGGTGACAACAACATAAAGTCTCCTCCCATTCACGAAAAATATCTAGAATGTCTAGCACAACAACAATCAACCACATCCTAACACCCGGGCGACGAAAAGCCGGAGTGACGCTAATAAATCCCTTTGCGTTCTACTACTTCAAAGCCTCCACTGTTGTCACTGGTAACATTGTAAACACTGCTTATTTGAAGAGCAGTTTAAGGGGGGACACAACCTCAATTAAAATTTTCGCAAAAAAAAATTATTTTTAAAATTGCAATTTTGGCTTGTACGGCTAATAATGAATACCCTCACAAAGTTTCATCAATGTGCGTTGACAAACAACAGCAAAAACAATCATTGACTCGTCTCTAACGCATGCGAGGAGTGCCGTGCTTGGCTGAACGTGACGAGAACCATGATAAGCATCAGTTTTGAAACATGACCACTCCACGGCTACTAGGCCTAGCGTCGTGCCGGGTAGTCTTGTTCGAAGCGTCATCGTAGGCTTTCAATTTTTGCTTTTTTTATTTATTTTTTTACCCTTTGTGCTGGACTATTTTTGGTTTACAGTAGGGTCTGATCTCCCTTGTTCTATGGGCCCTGGCCCCGAGCAGAGGCGGCGATTTCAGGACATCTGTGTCCCCGCTCGCATCTTGGGAGCTCCAATTCTGAAAGACGCAACGGATTCTTGGAAAGCCACAAGGGCCACTGACACTTAACACCTTTATTCCTCACGTTTGACAACGGAGATCAGTGCGGCTGTAATTGTTTCTATACCGATATGTGACTTTCTCGGGCCTCTTCAGATGTCAACCGCCGAGATCGCGGAGCTGCAGTGAACGGTGGCGGGCATCGCTACTTTGGTAGCAGCGCTCACCACCCGCCTCCCTCCCTTGGCCACAGAGGGTGTCGAACTTTAAAACAATGAATGGAGTGACATGCCAGACCTGGAACCTTTGGGGCCCACGGAGAAGTCCCACTCCTGGCTGGGGAGACCGACAGAGGGCCGACCCCGGGAGGTAGATTCTGCCGTCCTGGACTTCCTCGAGAAGTACTGAGACTCCAAGGGGGCGCGCTGAGCGGTGCCGGGCAGCTCTGATGAGCTTTTTGAGACCAAGGCTCCTCTTTGCCACGGTGCCGGAATCGAATCTGGAGATAAAGGCCCTGACAAAGGAGAGGAGCCGCCGCCCAAAGGGTGGCTCGGGACGGCCCGCAAATGTCACGGCGCGGGGCCAGGCGCCCAGAGAGGGCCCAGACACTGTGGCTATGGCTATGGGGCCACTAGTAGGCCTCTTGGAGATCGGCCTCTTGGAGAAGGACGGGAGGACGGTGGCGGACCACTTGGGGGCAGCTACTGCCCATCTGGGGCGGCTCTTTGCGTCGCTCTCCTAAGAGCGCCGGGAGGGGGTGATCGTACAAGTTGCCCCAGACCTCCACCAGATGGTGACCCATGACGGCGGGGATGAAGGATCCCCTTTGCTGTTCGGAGAGGGCTTCCTGGGGCAGCTCTAAACGAAAAACGAGGCCATCAAGGTCCTCCGGGAAGCCCGCCATCCGCTCCCTCTCGCTGCAGAGCCAGCGGCAAAGAGGCCCCGCAGCTCGGCTGCCCCGGGGACCAGTGCCCAGAGCCGGAGTGGAGGCCAGCAGCACTTTCATATGGAGCCCCCTTCCCCAAGCTACACGAGGGGGGCCTACCTTCACCAAGGACACTGAGGAAAGTGTAAACCCGCACCTCTTAGCACTACCGCCCGCGGGCCGAATGGCATATTGCCGCGAAGCATGGAGGTTGCTCACCCACGATGCATGGGTCCTTTAGACAATGCAGGGGTACAAGCAGGAGTTTACAGAGGTACCAACAATTCAAGGGTTGCACAGCGTGCCGACCCGAGGGCAGTCAAATAAGGTCCAGGAGGCAGTGTCCCAGCTGGTCAAAAAAGGAGCAGTCTCTCGGGTACCGCCCTCCAAAGTGAAGTTCTTCTCCCCCTTCTTTGTAGTACCAAAGAAGGACAACAAGGTGCGCTCACTCCTAG